GGGGGGTTGAGGAAGTGCAAAACAGCTAAAAAAAATCCTTTTTTTTTTGTGGGGTTATAAAGATGGAGAGAATAAAAAATGTTAAAGTTAAAGGGGACTTAAATATACCTTCCATATCATTATGCCAATATCAAATTGTCTACCATTGACATTTGATCTTGGAGATATTGCTGCCCCCATTGCAATCCTGTTGTTTGTTTGAACGAAACCTGAGCATAATAAGTTGTAACATCCAGTGGCTTGGTATGCATCCGTCTGCGTTTTGAATTATATTACGAGTCTAAATTTTATGCATTGATGATATAAAAAATATTTTTGCGCATATAAACATGAAGAAAATAAAATTCTTACCGTCCAATAAGTGAAGAATCTAGGATAGTTGTCTCCATAAAGTTCTGGGCTGACCTGATGAACATGGCACTTAATTAATTTACTAAACTTAAAATCTCTGTTGACTCATAAGGCAATCCAAAATTTATAAAATATTAGCTGTCATTGTGGTATATGGATATATATATAGTTTGTTATGACAACTAAATTAGCTGATGTTTCACTTTCAAATGAAGTCTTGTACTGATGATGTTACAGCTTAGCACCAATAATGATATCTTTACTTGAAAGGGGAAACGAAAAGACTAATAAAGTAGGTTGAAATTGGACTTCAAGGAATTTTAAAAAATAAAACAGAAACTTTTCTTTTTCTTTTTACAACGATGGTGCTCATTTATATACACCTCAATTAATTCATTGACTGCTCACTATAAAAAGAAATTACCATAACGCTATAGTTAAACTTTTCTATAATTGCTTTGTCTGTTCCGATATTTTTGGATTGTTATAGAGAACATATATTATAACGTAACATAAAAATTTAGTTCGAAAATGAAGTGTATAGATAATGACTGTTATATAGAGATTTGACTGTATTTTATTACTACTAAAATTTGCGCCCCTTATCCTGCCATAATTATTTTCGATCTTTGATCACTAGGCTACATCCTTCCGTGCAAAAACTATTTCTGTTGTAACCCTAATTTTAGTTTGGGAGAGAGACAAAGAAGTAAAACCATGAAGTTGGGACTTAAAATTTATGGCTTGAATAAAACATATACCTGCCAACCAGCTTCAATGGTATTAAGATCATTGCCAAAGGTGCCAGAGATGACCCAAAGTTGTGACAGACTGAATTCATATTGGTCTGTAACTCTGGGTGTCCACACATTAATGCTTGCCTTGGCTCCATAATATTGATCTCCATTCACGAAAGCTACAGCATGCTGCCATTAAAAGACATTTTCACATTGTTGGAAATTCAAATTATAGACCTTTTAGACAGATTGTACACTCTTCTCTTTAACAACATTAATACTGTTACCTCCTAATCCTACGTTGCTTTTAAAAGCAATGTCTTGTTTGCAATTTGCATCTTGAAAGTGACATTTTGACTGTTGTTTGACTGTTATAACATTCAACACTAGTTTATCTTGAATGTGTTTCATTAATTTTTATAAATATGAATTTTTACAATATCAAAGTTGATGTGCATATATATTCTAATTATTACCTCATGATCATTGCTCAATGTATCGTGTCTTACACCTCTTCTAATTTTTCTACCAAATCTTCGGAAAGAGCTAGTTCTTAGGATATCTTTCTCTGTTGTTCTCCTTATTGGAACAGTTCCTTCAGGGCATAATTCTCCAGAAACTGTCCAAAGTTGTAAGCTTTCTGCCATTTCATTCATTGTGTCATTACCTTTAGGCCTCTTTGGAGGTTCCTGCATTGCATCAAAGACAATAAATTAACGCCACCTTCATTTCATGGTTTAACAGAAAAAGAAAAAAAATGTTCTTTTAACTCTGTGTTTAAACTAAGGGCAGCCCAATGCAAAGCTCCCGCTATGCGCGGGTCTGGGAAATGCCAGACCACAAGGTCTATTGTACGCCTTATCCAACATTCTGCAAGAGGCTATTTCCACGGTCAGAACCTGTTACTTTCTGATCACAGGACAGCAACTTTACCAGTTACGCTACGACTCCCTTTTTAATTTGTGTTTACCCTAAAGAGAAAACTAAAGTATTCTTTAGCAAAATACCAATGGCTTCATTCCTTTGAGCTGAGGATGGTCAAAAGCTGGTTGAAGGTGAGATAAAACACAATCTATTAGATC